GTAAGAAATCCAATGTTTTCTTGGCGCAGAGTGACTCCCCATTAATTCGCCCGCTAATTAAAAAATCGTCTCTTTTCTCCTAATTAATATTAAGGAATGAAACCAATGCTGTTCGATGGAGAATTAAATTCCCCATCCTTCAACCCCCGTTTCATTCCTTAATCTCTGTAATGAAAAAATAAAAACTGCGACGAATGTCGCGGCGCTATGAAAATTTAACAGTATTGGTTTCATTCCTTAATGTTAATTAGGAAGGGAGAGACGATTTTATAATTAGCGGGCGAATAAATGGGGAGTCACTCTGCGCCGAGAAAACATTTGGTTTCTTATAGCGCCGTGACTTTCGTCGCTATATTAATTTTTTTATTGCAGAGATTAAGGGATGAAACGGGGGTTGATGGATGGGGAATTTAATTCTCCATCGAACAGCATTGGTTTCATTCCTTAATCTCTGTAATGAAAAAATAAAAACTGCGACGAATGTCGCGGCGCTATGAAAATTTAACAGTATTGGTTTCATTCCTTAATCTCTGTAATGAAAAAATAAAAACTGCGACGAATGTCGCGGCGCTATGAAAATTTAACAGTATTGGTTTCATTCCTTAATATTAATTAGGAGCAAAGAGACGATTTTTTAATTACCGGGCGAAGTAATGAGGAAGCACTCTGCGCCGAGAAACCATTGAGTTTTTCATAGCGCCGTGACTTTCGTCGCAGTTTTTATTTTTTTATTACAGAGATTAAGGAATGAAATGGAGGTTGCAGGATGGGGAATTTAATTCTCCATCGAACAGCATTTGCTTCATTCCTTAATGTTAATTAGGAGCAGTGATACGATTTTTTAATTAGCGGGCGAGTTGTCGGGAGTCACTGCGCCGAGAAACCATTGGGTTTTTCATAGCGCCGCGACTTTCGTCGCAGTTTTTATTTTTTTATTACAGAGATTAAGGAATGAAACGGGGGTTGAAGGATGGGGAATTTAATTCTCCATCGAACAGCATTGGTTTCATTCCTTATTGTTAATTAGGAGGGGAGAGACGATTTTTTAATTAGCGGGCGAATTATTGGGGAGTCACTCTGCGCCGAGAAAACATTGGGTTTCTTATAGCGCCGTGACTTTCGTCGCAATATTAATTTTTTTATTGCAGATATTAAGGGATGAAACGGGGGTTGATGGTTGGGGAATTTAATTCTCCATTGAACAGTCTTTTTTTCATCCCTTAATATTAATTAGTCGGCGAATAAATCAACTGAAAAACATAAAGTAAACATTGAGTACAAGGAGGACAAAAATCCCCCTCCGAACCTGTCCCTGTCACAGCGGGACTGCTACTGCCGAGTTACTCACGCACCCGACTCACATTTACCGACAATTCGACCGGGACGCCGCCTTTCCCGTGGGGTACCAACTAACATTTTTGGAGTCAGTCAAACCCCCCGATCCGGGCCTCTACTCAGGTCTATCCTCTTTGGGTAACGCGTTTGAACCTGTACAAACCGGTGGCAGCGGGGCTGCCCGTGATAGTTCGTTCCTTGGATTATTTATTTCTCTACTGTGTTTTTTTAGTTATAATTGTCATGAACGATGTTGACACTATCGATAGGAGATATTTTCGAGTATGTTTAAAGCATACCGACATCGCGAAATATCAAAGAAGGCGAACGGGTGCTTAATTTGAAGAATTTGATTTCCCGTGGTGCGTCATCAAAAACGTCCCATCGCATCATATTATTTTGTTTATGTTTACAAACTAGTGGTTTGAGGGAGAAACCACATGAAGTTACTGGTACTATTAATATTAACCCAGCAACACAATCAGCATCGATTTTCGAGATGTCTTGCACTTGTAAAGCAGGGTTAGGACACAGTTGTAAGCACATAGTTTCTCATGATACCATTTTTTTTTCATTCTTTTACCTTACCATTTTATTCCATCCTTTGCTAGGAATGATTTTATGACTTTGGAGCTCGTATCATGTACAGATAGGGAATGCACGTGGCGTAAATTAAAAGGGCCTGCTCTAGAACAATATAAACCCACACTCTTTACCTCTGTGTTGTTTCCCACAGGAAAACATTGTAAAACTCTCTGAAGCAGATATAACCCCTGTGTACATAGAGTTGTTGGAATGTGATGTAAATTCTGCCATTGCTAAACATAACAAACGCATGAGAAAAACTATTCTTGTGCCTGTCTAACGCTTTACCATTTGATAATGCAACCCTCAAAGTGATACTAGCAAATGCTAGCAAATCACCCTCTATGATTGCACTAACACGAGTACCGGTGGAAGTGAGAGGATGCTGCATGGATGAATATCTTGCCAATGTTCATACGACTGACGTATTGCGAATAGCTGAAAGCATTATCTGCAATCCATTAGTTTGGAAAAAAGAAAGACAGTTTCGCGTAACTGGTAGTCGATGCTACTCTCTTTACACCTATTCGATGGATAATTGGCCTGAAAAAGCCTCTAAGTACTTCTGGCCACGTGAATTTACAAATAAATATGTCCAGCATGGAGTTAAAATGGAGCCAAGAGCAAGAACACTGTACCAAGAGTTGAAAAATTGTGAGGTATACTGTTGTGGGCTCATCATTTCCCAGGATAATCCTTGGCTCGGTTATTCTCCTGATGGAATTGTCATGCATGCCCAGAAGCCTTGTACTTTAGTAGAGATAAAATCTCCATGGAAATTAGAAGATTTATTACCTAAAACTTTGTTAGAATGTTGTAGTTATCTTATCTATGAGGATCGAAGACTGAAGTTGAAACAAAAATGTGGCTATTATGGTCAAGTACAATTTGGACTTGCATTATTGAATCTAAAAGCATGTGATTTAGTTATTTACTCAGATATAGTCGATGGCATCATGGTAATACCAGTCCCTTACGATGAATCTTTCGTGACTAAATTGTTGATTAAATTGAAAAGTGTCTATTTCAATAAAATGTTACATGTTATTTGCCAAAAAGAAAAACATGAAAATTCATGTGTGAAAAAACTTAGAAAGTCATGAGGGTAATTTCTGTCGTAATAATTTATTTAAATCAATAATTTATTGATTGCATAGCACAATGATGGTTACTAGAGTGTCTTTTATTAAATACATGTCACTCAACCAACACAATCATTTACATAAACTTATCATCAGCAAAAATAGGCGTACCTAAATTTGCAAGGCCTGAGCATACAATTACAATGTCGTTCACATAATTGACAAGATTCCAGGACAATTCATTCCGCAGCACGTCGAAAATTTCAATTCTTTGATTCATTCGTTCCACGTGCACATGTGCAGCGGCAATGTTGCGGTTTAATACTACTTCTTCTGTGGAAAACTGCTTCTTCTTTTCGAGAAAAGCTGGTCTGTATAGTTGTATCCCAAATTTATCGCATAAATGTTCAATTCGAAATCCTTTATCAGCCATAACAGCATCGCCTGGTTGTAATTTACTAATAATATTACTAGCTTCGAAGATTGCACTATTTGTAGATCGTCCTTCGTATCCTTCACTCAAATATATTAAAAGTCCTGCAGGACTGACCGCTGTCATAAATTTTGCAGTGAAATTACTTCTATATTGAGAATAAATTTTCAGACGACATGCTAGACATTTAGGTTTTTGAATTTTAAATTCAGTACAATCCACTACGTACACTGTGTTTTGAAAATTCTCGAAAGTGAGAGGCATATTTCGAGCAATTTCTTCTTTAGGGACCCATTGAATTACACATCGTAAAATACTCGACAGTTTTTGGAAATTGTCTAAGAAAATAGCTAGACACGTTGATTCAGCCACACATCGGAATATTATCGCAAGGAAGGAAAACGTTAAGTCATTTTTCAATTTCATCGTCGTTAGTACAATTCGTTCTTTTAAGGACATTTTATGTTGTCTTTTTTCGGGATAATACCTCATAATTAGTTCCACTAAATTATGAAGAATCACATGATTTCTAATCCCACAAAGAACAGATAATTCATGATCTGTTCCGATTCTTGTGCTGAATGGCTCGTAAAAGTCTCCAGATGTAACCTGAATACCGACTTCAATGGGCTTTTTTTCCGAGACTAGTGCTAAATCCTCCTCTGACACTTGGACACTCGCATCAATATTCTGTTTTTTCTTTATTTGCGGAGAGATGGTCAGATATTGTTCCTTCTAATGGCCCTTGTGGAGATAATACTTAACGACAAATGTCATTATCACAGAGAGCCTCATCAACTGCGTCGAATAACGAATACAAGTTACATTTGATGGCATCCTTTCCTCCATAGGTTTCTTTGACCTGAATCAAGAAAAAACAAAAAAAATACGCAAAATTTCATGAACTGAATCAGACAATCATTGAAACTTATCGAAATATCAAAACTTGCTCAGGGGTTTATTCATCAACAAATTCACTAGTCGAGTGCTAAAACAAATAAAGTTCTTTACTGGATGGGTTTAAATTCCAAGGAGATAGCCGCTTATCTATGAACACCTTCTGGGAAACATAGGGGAATTTTTCTGAAGACCCTGCATGAAGAGTGGAGCATAAACTATGGGAGAACCGGGGAAAATGGGTCATCCGGGCGAAATGGGACATCCCGGCTAAACGGGACGCGAGCGTAAAATGGGACATAAGGCGGGGAAAATGGGACGGGGTCCAAATGAATCAGGAGGTTGAATGGGAGACAAGGAGAAAGATTCATGGGGGCTGAGAGGTCGAATCAAGGGGCCAAACGGTCTAGAGAGGCAGCTGGAAGCCTGAATCAAGGGCGAAAGACTGGAAGGTCGAATTCAGGGGATAAAAGGTCTAGAGAAGAGACTGGAAGGTCCAATCAAAGGACTCAACAGTCTATTCTTACAGGCTGAACGGTTTTTTCTACAAATTTCATTTCTTTCTTGAAAACCTCAACTTCATGTAACAGCTGTTAAGCCTTTGGGGTGACACGTTTACCTCTCTGATTGGCCCTTCCAGCCTCTTCTCTAGACCATTTTGCCCCTGAATTTAAGCTTCCAACCTTTTGTCTAGACCGTTTGGTCTCTGAATTCAACCTTCCAGCCTTTGGCCCTTAATTCGACCTTCTAGCTGCCTCTCTAGACAGTTTGGACCCTGAATTCGACCGTCTAGCCTCCTCTCTAGACCGTTAGGCCTCTATATTCAACCTTCCAGCCTTTGGCCTTTGCATCAATCTTCCAGCTACCTCTCTAGACGATTTGGCTCCTTGATTCGACCTCCCAACCACTTCTCTCGACCAATTGGACCCTGTATTTGATCTTTCAGCCTTTTCTCAAGACCTTTGGGCTCCTTGATTCGACATCGCAGCTTTCTCCCTAGACCCTAGGACTCATGATTCAGGCTTCCAACCTTTTGTTCAATCTCTAGACCGTTTGGCCCCTTGATTCGACCTCTCAGCCCCCATCATTCTTTCCCTTTGTCTCCCATTCAACCTCCTGATTCATTTGGACCCTGTCCCATTTCACCTGCGTTTCATTTTGCCCTATGTCCCATTTTACCCCCACGCCCCATTTTGCACGGATGTCCCATTTGGCCCGGTTCTCCCCTATAGAAATTTCCCTATCTCCCTTATATTTCAAGATATTTCAGGGAAGCTGACTCTCCAGTTGAATCAACTTTCCTCGTCTCACCACTACATTACTGAATTAATTTCTATTTAGCTATGCAAAATTAATACTGAGGTGTCACCTTGAATTTTGACGTACTTCCATGTGTTTCAGGAGATACGGGTTCTTGTGCGAGTAGCGTTATATCCATATTGTCTCCTAAGGTTGCAATTCATCGGAATGGTGATGTGCTACCTCTCAGAGAGGATTATTCGATCGCCTCCTCCAAGTGGCTTTGAGCTTGCCTATCCCGTGCATCACACGCTGATAGATGTTGAGTCGGGACAGCATATTTTTTCAATCGACGTCGTCTCATCCCGCACTCCTCAAAAAACTCTGCAAAATTGCAATGGAAAGTGTCACTACTGACAAGCAAGTCAAGGTGAATGTATATTAAGCGCTTAAGACACTTAGCAGTTGCAATAAAACTCACCTGGGAACACAAAATCATCGAGTGAGAAATGTAAACTACACACTCGTGAATCCTTCACAATATTTTCGGGCTTCAATAGTTGAATCCACCTTTCCCGTATATCAACTTCAATTGCACTTTGGAGGTTATCTGATGTTGTGAGAGAATATTTGAGATTTGATGGAGGGATTATATGAAAACTCAATTCTGGATTAGTCACTGATGTACTCTGACATCCTTTGGCACATTTCTTTGGAATTATTTTCACTTTGCGCTTTACAGGAGTATTTTCCAGTGAATAGTCCGTTTTTCGGAGCAACTGAGTAATCACCAACAAATCAAATGGAACGTGCATGAGTTCCCATCGAACGGCCATTTTTTTCAGTGTAGGCTATGCCCACCAGGTATCGCATTCTTATTTAGCGTCCCCAATCCCACACGTTATTAAAAAAACTGTTTGATCGATGGCCGATAATATAGCCACCGTTATTACCGTGTGAACCTCAATCGGAGACGGCCATATAGTTAGCAGGGAAATAATCAATATCCGGATGAAACCAATTTCAATCATTTGGGAAACATTTGGGCAAGTTTAGGAATGCATTTGTATAATTTGGGAACTAATAGTTTATTTATAATTAATTAGTCTTTCCGGCGTATAGTGAGCAGGTGGTATGGCCAAATGTCAATCGGACCAGCTTAGATCGACGTGAAATCATTTGGGAAGACCAAAAAACTTTGATTTGAAGTTTAGGAAGTAACAGTTATTTTTTAATTAATTGTTTTCTCATTTTGGATGGGGGAGCAGGTTGCGCATGCGCAGACTCCTCCGAAGGGTCATCAGCTGTGCGTTGACGCTCCCCCCTCGTATTTATTTTTATGTTGGTTGAGTGCAGTTCAGTGTGTTAAAACCGAACTAATCATTAACTACATTTGAGGAATCATCTGTATTTAATCGTGAAATGATTTCATACCATGGTTCTATGTGGTGCCTATGTTCGAGTACAAGTGGAAGGTGTGAGAAAAAAGAAACAATGAGAAAAAAAAACCGGAGGGTTCATCAACAAAATCATCGGGGATAGGATGGCTGGATCGATATAAATTCCTCTCGCCTAGATAATTCTAAAGGACTCAAGACTAGCCTAAATGGATGGACGTCAAACAAACTTCACCGTAAACGATTGTTGTTGAATCAGTATCTCGGCTCTGGATGACAATAGCCCCATGGAAATAGGATCCAGGAACCGGCACCCTTGAATATCGAGCTCGGGATGATTCCAGACAGGCCAAGAGAAATCATTGACTTCAGTCCATCCTCTAGACGATAAGGAATGGGAGTCCAATTTCATGTGAATATCCTGACCTAGTCATGAATACTATAGCTAATATGGAGAAGGACCCACAGGATCCATCGTTGTGAGATCCCATCAAGTACCAGGAGATTGATAATATGTTTGCAAGAGGTAATGATCCCATGAATATGTTCTTCTTTTCAAGTATAAATGTTTTGGGTCGAGCAATAAATCCCTGAGGTATTTACTTCAGATGACAAATTCAAGACTAGAATATCGTGTTTGAAATGATTTTTTAAAGAATGTCCAGATTCTCAATTACAGATAGTAATTCTTGGAAATATTCTTCATAAAACGTATCTATGAATTTTTAAGGATTTGATTTCGATATCCCAATGTATTTATCACTTGACAAATACTAGTTTGGAGTCGAATCCCATGACCTTGTAGAAATTCGATTTTCTTATATTTTTCCATTCTCGAAATTCTGTAAACGGTTCGTTAAATCGATTCGAGACTCTGAATTAAACATTGTTAATCAAAGATGTAAATTTAAACAAAATTTCTCTTGAAAATTTCTTTAGAAAAAAACCTAAAATTAAATTTCCAATATGACTACCACGAAGGCTATTAGTTGAACAATGATAATTGTGATTTATGTTGATTTGCAGTCTTATATTACGTTTCTTGCTTTCGAGATGAATCTGAATTGTACTCGGGACCTCAATTAGGCCAATGAGTATTTCCCATCAAATTCATTCATCAATGTATGATCATGCATCCAGACGCATTCCACATCATTCCAAACTTTTCTATTCCTCATAGGATTACAAACCAGTGAATGGAGGGCCCTCAGAGCACCAGACTATCCCTATCAGGAAAAGCGGAGTCTTCGAAGTTTATTATAAGCAATATTATTCCCTGGAAAAGTCTCTTGTTCGTCGCAGTACTCATCAGCTTCTACTTTATACTCGCTGCCAAGTTTCAAGACACTAACACTGAAAACAGACCCACAACAGTCATCAGCGATAGGTGGAAGACGACCATCGAAATCATCCAGGGGCTCATGGCACAGATCATGAATCAATTAGGGCCATCTCACTGAAGACATAATCAGCCCTTTCCCCCTTATGTTCGAATAAACCATTGTTAATGTGATATTCTGTACACCCGTTGTTTCATGACAATTCAACTCATGAAATAATACAGATACAGAAAAAAAAACATTGAAAATCTAGCGGAGTCGCTGGAAAGCTCTATTATAAATTCAATCTGTTATCTGTCAATTCCTACTGAACATTGTGGAAACCTGTTAGACAATATTTCAATAAATATTAGATAGAAAAAAAAATTCTTATCTGCTTATGCCACTTGTTCTGTTGTAAATTTGTTAATAATGATGGAGTTTTCTTTTACGTAAAGACCGTGGAAAAAAAATGTGAAACTCAGGCTCGAGAATTGTATAAGGAAAATGTTGACGGAAAAGGAAGAACTTGTCAATTCATCTTTTGGAATTCCTCAAGGTTGTGACGGCGATTTTTCCCAACGTAGACGAAAAGGCACGGATTAGATGCGAGACCTTAAACTCATAGAAAATCCCATATTGAACGGTAGCCGTAGTGTGTCACCTTCGGCCTCTTCCATTTCGATGTTCCCTGAAATTCTCGAAAACCGTAGAAACGATGGAAACGCCATAACCGGAAAACGAGAAGCCAGCTATTCTTTTGAGGAACTGATGTCGGGCGCCAGTTGATTTTTGTTTCGGCGGTATCAACGAACCGCAGCCAAAGGGAACCAAACGAGAATAAAACTAGACTTAAGGATAACTAGGGAAAATCGAAGGGAGAGGTTGCGGAATTATTTCGACTAGCTCGAAGAAATCCGGAGAGCGCGGTAGGATCGGTCGCTCGGTCTTACGAAAAGGTGTCGCACAACCCAAAGGAATATTCAAAATTACTCAAAACCAGATCGGAAAATTAATTAAATCTGAGACACGTGGATTATGTTAAATTGTCTCGTGATTTATTTCATTTCTCAAAATCGATCCAAAATAAATGGAACTTCTAAATTCATTCACTACGATTTATTCCCGAGAGAGAGAGAGAGAGAGAGAG